TTTGAAAGTCTTGCAACATACCGACAAGACTAGTGTAATAAATTTGGAGATGGTATATCGGTCTGCAATATCAGTTGACCTGTATGACATATCAATTGTCCTGTATGACATCAATTTACCTGTATTACATATCAGTTTACTTGCATGACATATCAGTTTACAGTTGATTTATCCAAAATATCATATTGCTGATTCAGGATTAAAAACTAGTTATAATTCTGAATGCCGCCGATCAGAAGTTATTGAACATTTACAAATGCAGCATTGGTTTGTGATTACCATGAATCTAAACAGAGGTCATGAGTCGGCAATGCAAAAGGCATATTGCTATTTTGACACCGACACCTCGTTTAAAAGGACATATATCGTTCACCTCGTTTAAAGAGGCACTTAAATTATCAAACACCTCGTTAATTGGTACAAGAGAAAGGCTTGTAAATACAAAAATTACAATTTTGAGCCGAAATTTTTATTTGCCAAAATATATTTGATCTCAGATGATTGGTCTGTGAAGTTTGATTAGTGCATCCAAATCTTAATATTGTGAACTGAGATCAAAATGCAAACCTATCTCTTATAATTTTTACCCAGAAACCTGTCAGCTTTTGTTCAGGTATAAAGGGAAAACTTTATTAATAATGTGAGCCACTAAGGTTTAAATGAAACTGTGTTATGAGGTCTTCAAAATGTCAAATTTAACTGATTTTGAAACAACCTAACAAACATCATTTTAAGGAAATATAATAGTTGAGTAACACTATTTCCACAATTTAGTCAATCTTTTTTCACCAACATCCTCAACTTCTGCCACAAGACCAAATTTGTCCAGATCGACCAAAACGTTAGTTGTTTAATAGATCCCAGAGATTATTTTCACATTCCAGAGACGCAAAAACGAACTCCAAGAATCGTTAGAGCCAAAGCATAGACGTATACATTACAATTTAAAGAGTTCAAGACCGAAGCCACCCAAGAATTCAGCAGGTTTCATTACAGATTAGTGGGAAAAAATCCTTATTAAAGACATTGAAAATCAATGACAAATTAAAGATGACAATCGTTTGATAATATACATTATTCACGACAGTTTGAAGAGTCCTGTCTGTATCCAGCTTAGGATACCAGCAGAAATGACACCGTGATGTGTCGAATTTGGAAACTCTTAGATGTATTGAATAAATGAATTATACCAAAGATAATATAATTAAAGTAGAAAGGACTAGAGACATTTATATGATTATTCTCATTTCATCTCAAAACGTCAAAGGAAACTTGGTTTTGCTTCATGAAATTTGACATCTGTTATGGTACAAAGAATTTGGCATAACACTCTTCAAACTCGCCCTGTAAAAAGGGGTAGTACGTCAATAATTGATTGTTCCAAGGAAAGTTAATTGCGGCATGATTAGCCTATTCTCGTTAATCAAATATTGTACGTAGGAAATTTTAGGAACCAGTCGATTCTGATTGGCTAATGGAAATTTATGGGCGTAATCCATGTTAAAAAAGATAGTAGCTGTACCTTGCAATATTGCTTCAGTCTTCAATCTTGCTTGAAAGAAGTTAGAGAGGGACTCCGGAAACGAACGTAATAAGTATGTTTTCCCCGTGACTGAAGGAAGGTGAGTTAGTCGTCTCAGAAATTAGACAGACTATAAATTGGACGTTCGTGGGAAAAACGAAAAAACGGCAAAGGTACGCAATAGTAGTTTCCAGAGTTTAATATACTATTTCATTTGTTGATTTATTTTCAAATGTATTGATATTATGATGCGTGTTTGTATGATGTTAGTCACGACATTTATTCTTTGATTTTCTAATTATCAATTCATTGAGAAAATTGACAAAAGTTGCATGTAATAGAATATTCGTTACGTAGAAATGCGTAGGAATTTCATGAATTTACCCTAATGCATGATGGGTAATGTTTCGTAGATTTATGAATTAAATCTCGGTGTAGTATGCCAAGTATTGAATGTATATTCATATACCAGTTCGTAATATTGAATTGATTAGGTCAACTATTTTAGAATAGTTAGATTTGATGGGTCAAGCCATATATAATTTAACACTAGATTGTAAATGTCAATGTAAAGAAGTCATAGGGTATTTAATACGGGCACATACATGCTAGTCGTAAAGTGGAAGCTAATAAAATCCCGCTAAACTCGTGAACCTGAATTAAGGTCAGTGTATATGTAATGGCCTCTTCCATTTGTAAACATAGAACTATTGAGCGAGTGAGTCACCTTAAGACAGAATTAGGCAGTGTACCATCTGAGCTGGGATAATTGTCTATTAACTCAGCCAGTGACGAGCTGTTTGCTTTTATAATAGAATACTTAATAAGATATAGCAATACACCATTTAGACATTCACTTACACACCAAGCAATAAGACACGTAGCTCAACATCCTTCACCTAAGTGGGAACAATAGGGAGTTATATGATCTTCCCAAAACTTCTCTCATAATATAAGGGATTTATATGAGAAGAAACAAAAACCCGAAGAAATGAGGAAAGGAGAAGGCATTGGTGAACTATGTTTAGTGTACTGGAGTCGGTTCGCTTAGGTACCAAATCACCACAGGTTATCAATGAGTTCGTAATGAGTTTTCAGCAGTTGCGCTACCCAATGACGTTTCTTGTGAACTTACTACAGACATCAAAGCACTAGTTGAATTTCAGGTTCATGACACATATCCTTAGTTTTTTGCAAAAGTGGCAAACATAGACACCCAAGGAAAGCTTGTCTGTGACGAGACCATCGCCGCATACGTCGCCATTAATAAAGTCGGATTTGTCAACAATGGCATTATAGAATTGTTTAGCAGCGCACGTTATTAAAACTGACAGAAAGCATAGCAAGTTTTGACAGCTTCGATATTGCTACAACAATTCTCGGAGTCTCCCGTGACAGCGACGATTCCACTTAATCTGCTGGCCCGTATATGATGTTTGTCGAATACACAAACAGTCCTGATTATATCCAACACATCCTAAATGGAATAGATACTGAAACACAAAGGCCAACAGTGGTGATTCCGTTAATATTGGATCTCCTAGCACACCCAAATTTATTTTCCACGACTAGAGCGGTTCTTTTATTGATTTCATGTCCAAGCTGTTCTTCCACTTATATTTTTTTTTGCGGCATTAGTTTTCAAAGTCCATCACAGTTCTTCCATTGATAATGTAAACACGAAGAATAATTGCTCGACTAGCTAGAATTATTCAGGTGCAACACACACACTTACACACTTCCATCTTACAGTTGCTGTGAAAAAAAAACCTATCAAATTTGTTTTTGCAGGCGTATCAATACCATCTGGTTGAACGGGAGGTACAGTAAAGGTAGCATTCACGAATACGCTTTAATTCGGAAGTTCTCGCAATGGAAACAAAACAATTTCGGTACACTTGATAAACTGTGTCTCGGCTTTCGAAGATAAAACGATTAGCACACTTCGTGGCTGTATAAGAATGGAAGCGTTAGCAACTCAAATATGTGAAAATCGAGTAACAGTTTGCCAACTTATATTGATCTACACAGTAGTGTATTAACCTGCCTAGAACACTTAAGAGTAGTGGCATCGCTTGATGGTGCCCGCTGGAAAGGCTCGCCACGGGCTCGTGCACTTGCAAAAATCATGCACTTGATTGTGTTTGATTGTGTTTCAGGGATATAGTCACCGAGTGTAGAAGGCTTTAATTTATATTAGTAACAAAAATCTCATAGCCCCATTATTATACTAGTTATGTTCACGTAAACTCTTCTTATGATGATAACAAGCGAGCTCTGTTCACGCGTTAGAAGCTTTCATTCTTTTCCATTGAATCTACTTGAAACCTTTACCCTATTTTACATTATGATCTTCCGCAATGCTATATGGCAGAGCGACATCAGTATCGCATACAAAACAGAGGTCTATCATGAAAATAAGAGAAATGAATCAGTTTAGATTTCCTAAAGCGCTTATAACTTTATCATAATTGTGTTTCCATTAAATGATCATTATAGTATGAATGATATTACTTGTATCCCCAAAATATTCGATTGTTTCTTTATTTTTAAAACTAAGTGACTTTGTGGGTATCTTTCGACTTAATTTACTATTCTGAAACTTAAGAACATAGTTGCATTATACATAACTAATTTATTTCGAACTGCAAATATTCAAAGGCACCACGCCCCCATCAGCCTCATATCACCCCAAACCTTAAAAATATCACTAACAGCGACAAAGATAGACATGAACCTCAATGATAATAATTGGAAAGAGATAAAAGTTATATCGAAGGATATTGATTTAGCCATTAAATAAATGGTAATAAATGTTTTTCTTGTCAACTTTATGAAAAAACGATCGCCTCTAAACGTCAGTCATGGCAGCACAGCGTAAATATTGAAACATTTCTGAACAGTATTAAATATCCACCATGAATCACGTGTGAGAGGACTCACAAAAGGCTTGTTCGAAGGGTGGGGTATTTTAACCCAGATAGGATCTTAACCTCCCAATTTCTGATTCTGACTTTTGATGTTCATGTTATTCAACAGAATTTAACCTGTTCAATTCTTTTAATTGTGCATTCCGCCCAGCGGAACAAAAACACCTAAGTATTTTCTGTTTTAGACAATGTATTATTTAAAACATTTTATTTCATAAATTGCAAAAGGTACAATACAAAGGGTAAAGCACTTAAACGAAAGCCAGTGGCTTATAATGTTCTCCTTTTACGATACAAAAATTATAAATTTATAAGAATATATAGTAGCTGATATTAAGTTTCAATGGCAAAACAACTTAATTATTCAACAAAGTGATGGGTTTCTTGATTAAATTTATGCATTTAGCAAAGGGTTCCAAAGCAGGAGGGTGAAACGCGATCCAGCGTGTGAAATATAAGGACAAAGAAAGGAAAAAATAATAAAAGGTGAATTTGCTACTTCATATGTGTCTAACATTTTGTAGAAAAATGACAAAATGGGAGAAACCGCTCCGGTGGCCTAGTGGTAAGAGAGTTTTCCTCGGATGCGGGAGGTCGTGGGTTCGATCCCCGGTCGAGTCATACCAAAGACTTACAAAAATGGTACTAACAGCTGCCTCACTTGGTCGGCCTTGTGTCAGGATAATGTGACTGGGTGGGACATCATGCTGCATGTCTGCGGCATGATGCCCCAGTTCTAGTCATCACTATAAACTGCCACACTGCAGACATCGTAGCGATATGACTGAAAAATTTTTAAAAAATCTAAATCACATCTAAATCACACAAAATGGGAGAAAGAAAAGAGAGGGATAAAAATAAATAAATAAATATCTAGGCTATTATAAAAAGTAACAAGAACAGTGAAGATATCAACCTTTGTAAAATTTAACAAATAATTTTATTTCCTTAGGAAACCAAAGTAAACATGAGAAAAAGAATCTACGGTTTTATGACTCAAATCCAAAATGAATCCATGAATTAAAAAATAAAAGTAGTATTTTTAAACAGTCCTAATTGAATATGAGTTAGAGTCCCGATGATATTCAAAATGGAAAGCGATAATGTCTTCGTAACCTTCAAAGTACAGATATGTCAACAGTTCCTTGTTGAATCACATAAAATAATATTCCAGTTTTAAATTCCGAATAAACTTCAATGAATGTTTTTGTTCAAGAATTTTGTAAGGAGCACTTATATTTCCATGGAAAAGAATTACTTGTATTCCATAAAATTGACTTTCAACTCAAACTGGTCACAACAAACACATTTAACTGTCAATCGTTTAGAGCCCGAACTGAACAAATTCTATTAGGAAAATAGTTATACACTAATTTAAGAAACAAATCAGATTCCCGGATGAAAGTCACCCTTCCAGAACAAAATAGAAGCTTTTTTATGCCTAACATCCCGTAATACGTGTATGACCCTTACTGAAATCAATGGTTGTTATTCTGGAAAAGAAAAATAAAAAGATTGTTTATCAGAAACCTTACTAGTCCTGAATCAAGGTCAGTAAATAGATATAGTGTTTCTATTATCAGGTCAAACCGAACTTCACTGAATTTCTGAAAACTATGTCAAATCCAAAACATATACATAACAGCTGAACAAGAGTTACACAGAAATTTGTCAATGAGAATGGATTAAGCACGTTGGTAACAGACGATATATATTGAATATGACGATTTCATGACACTAAAGATATGCTAAATATTTATTTTTTAAAAATATGCAAATGAAATTTTATATTCATCCATTTAATGAATACAAGTTTTAGAGCAATTCAGCACGATAATTATGTACGAACGAGAAAGTATTCTCTAGGTGAGTATCTCTATCCTTTAATAAAGATTAAAATGGTAACCATGGCAAACGTAGAGCTGAACCAATTGGACCAATCAAGCATGAGATGATGATAAGTTACTTTCAGATGGCAGTGGGAGAAACATTCGTAAAATAACTGCATTTCGTGCTGTAAACGCCTCTTATAATCGAAGATATTTGAAGATATCCCAATGATTTGTGTGTATCACTTAAATTAAGAGCTGCTTGCCTCGAGTTTACCAATGGATCATGAGTAGAATATAGTGGGCCACTTTAGGGACAATGGGACATTAATGTTAATAATGGGTATATCAAAATTTGCGACAATGGGAATTTATCACGGGATGTTTAAGGAAAAGGGATTTGGTCTGTTTAGCCTCACTACAATTCCCAGTCAGAAAGGTAGTGGAAAGGTTTAGCTTAAAGGGGAAATTTTAACACGCGGAATATTGCTGGGACTGCTTAGACTCAAAGGGAAATAAAACATGGGAAATATTGCTGGTGCTGTATAGCCACAATGGGAATTTAATGTGGGAAATATTGGGCCACTATACGAACGATGGGAATTACCATTACAAAGCACATGGGCCACTATAAGGACAAGATTTATACAGACATGGAATTTTGAATGGATTGGATCTGTTTAGGGACAAGGGGAATTGAATATAGGGATGTAGAATGTCAATGGATTGGGACTGTCTAGCGATAATGGGAATTTAATATGGGGAATAAAGGACTGGCACTTTGGGGACCCGCTCTACCAGGCTTTATATAAAGTTAAATGACCCGCTCCGCCACACGTTATATAAGTTCTATTACCCGCTCCGCCTGGCTTTATATAAAGTTCTATGACCCACTTCGTCGGGCGTTATATAAAGTTCTATGACCTGCTCCGCCAGATGTTCTATAAAGTGATATTTCCCGCTCCGTCAAGCATTCTATCAAGTTCTATGCCGAACCCCGCCAAGTGTCATAGCTTTTATATATAATATACTGCATCTGCATAGGGAGAATATAAATGGAACAGATGGGGTGGCGATACGGTACTTGTTGTAAAGAGCTGACCTCAATCAAGCAAAACAGTGACAGCGGAAAAAAATCTCTAACGTCTGGCAGAGGTGTGACATAGAACTTTATAGACAAAGAACCATCTACCAAACAATCCATAGTGATGAGGGTACAATCTAAAATATTTTTTATACAAAAGCACACACTCATATTAGCATAATCCATGTTATTTACTATCTATACATTGTGGAGAAGGAATTTTGTATCTACAAAACAAACTATTACCTACGATCACCTCAGCAAAAGAGTTAGTGGTTATAGTCACACTACTCCACATTCGCACAAAAGAAACACAATGAGTAGGGACAAAGGATTTTTTGTTAGGGGAAAAAATCAAACACACATGCAAACGTACGCGCGCAAAAAAACACTACACATGCAAACAAAATACACACACATACAAAATGCACACACATACAAACGTGTGCTGCGTATAAAAACAGATGCATACACTTTTGTGTTAAGCGATAAGCGTTTTGTTGATGAAAAAACAAGCACGCATACACGATCAAAAAACACACACGATCACTATTTTTGTTAAGAAAATAAAAACAGGCCTTATGTTCGCTTAGAATATAAGAGAAGGAGATGAAATCTCACAAAATATCTCTCCCTGACACTAGAAAAATTCTATCCATTATAGCCACTAAATCCGTCCATTGTGTTAGCTTGAACTGTAAGAGAAGGAGATAAAATCTAACAAAATATACTATCCTTTACATTACAAAAGATAATATCCACCATAATATCTATGTCATCCATCACCTCACACGCTAGTCGAAATGTTAGCTTAAATATGTCAGTGATTCCGAAGACGACATGAGTGAGCCTGCATCAATGTCATCCACTTCTGTCACAAAACCATGAGAGTCCTGATTCAACCCCAACCCCAAAGAAATTCGCTATTGTCACATTTGAGTGACCGCAAAACGCACTTACAGAAAATTGAAAACAAGGCTTACACCTACACTCCGAAATATTAGTTCAAGTGGTATCTAAAACTGAGTCAAATTAAAGTTTATAATCAAGATGGAACGATGACACATTTTCTAGGAGAAAGCAGACACCAATCGACAACAGCGATCCGTGTCACACAATACTTTCCAAATGTGTTGAGGTCTGTGCTAGCGATCTTGAAGAAGATGTGATTAACTCAAACCTCATATTCAACACCATCTACATTCACGAGAGAGAGAGAGAGAGAGAGAGAGAGAGAGAGAGAGAGAGAGAGAGAGAGAGAGAGAGTAAATCTGATAGGATGACAGAATCAAGAAGACAAGTGAAGAAAGAAATTCGTTTCGTGTCTCATTAAGATTATGTTTGCAACCTAGTAGCCCAAAAGTGACTTGCAAAAAAAATTGAGAACGATGACATCCGCCTACACGGAGAAATTAAACGGTTAAATCAATGGTTACTATGTCTTTGTTTTATGTAATGCTCATATGAACTTTTGGTGCTTAAGAACGCTAACATACACAAACACACGCACACGCGCGCACGCACGCATACACGTGTGTTACTGCAATGGGTAAAAGTAGAACGTTGACTAGTGATTTGAGAGATGGAAAGACAGACTTTAAGTTAAATTGCAAAGAAAAAGAAAGAATGAAAAAAGAAGATGTAGGACACCGTATTTTGGTTGTGTTATTTTCTAAAGATACTGCAGTACAATGATAATTAAGACAACGATGTAAATTCTAGTACATACGCCAATACATACATTGATTGCCAAGACGTTAGTTGATGATATGAAAAACTTGGTCAATGCAAAGGTGGAAATTAGTTTTAATCATTTCTCTGTCTATATAAATAAATATAAATATATATATATAACAAATAAATTGCATATATATATATATATATATATATATATATATATATATATATATATATATATATATATATATATATATATATATATATATATATATATATATATATATATATACTTGAATACTACTTTGAATTTCTATTATTTTAAACATTGGGTGTTTTTATAACATACATATTGACGAGAGCTCAACACACAACATATGAGACAAACATATTCATTTATTTTATTCAAACAAATTGATTTTGATTACAGGTTGTGAGACTTCTAGAAATAATTTATCAGGCTACGTTTTCGCGACTTTCAATAATTACATATAAAAGAAATAATCAAAGATTCACCAGGTGTACAGTAATGACCAGAAAAACCCATGTAATACAAATTTGATGTTCGAATCGTTTTCTACCAGAAGAGAAAAATACCATAGGTTCAACATTTGGAAGTAATTAGTTTGCTTCAGAATAATTTAGTGTTTCATTTATTGTAATTTATATCCTGTCTTTCCAATGGCAACATTCATTTATTGTAATTTATATCCTGTCTTTCAAACTATGTCAACAGCCATTTATTGCAATTTATATCCTGTCCTTCCAATTGTCAAAAGCCACTTATTGTAATTTATATCCTGTCTTTCCAATGTCAACAGCCATTTATTGTAATTTATATCCTGTCTTTCCAACTATGTCAAAAGCCATTTATTGTAATTTGTATCCTGTCTTAACAATAATGTCAGCATCCACTTATTGTAATTTATATCCTGTCTTTCCAATGTCAACGACAATTTATTGTAATTTATATCCTGTCTTTTCAACTATGTCAAAAGCCATTTATTGTAATTTATATCGTGTCTTTCCAA